GGGAAGAAAAGATGCACACAACAGTAGCTACATGTACTCTGTGTCCCTGAGTGCCCACTTAGTGGATACCAGAGAGAACATAATGTGTAAAGCAGCCTTAAAATAAGATATCTTTGAACATTTGGGGAGGAAAGCTATATAAATGCTAATTGCAGTGGCGGTCGCTGCTTCTGATGTTATTAAATGTGTACGTACACCTGCGCTGGGCTGGACCAATCCATGCCGACGTGATCGTTTCCTTCATTCACATCCTATTTTCTAAAGTATCAACTTCTCTTGCAGCGCTGCCGGATTCTCTAAGAAGCCGATGATGAGTTTCTTTGAGACAGGGAGAGCAAAGGAGAGACGTCGCCGGGACTATCTAGCTTGGCCATCCTCAATCCGAGTTTCTGTCCTCCCTACAAAACCCCTTACTTCAAAGCGAGGCACATAATGTACAATTTTTTAATGGCTCTAGAGACCAAGGCACTCAGACTCTCAGTGCACTGTGCCTTACCTCCGTGTAAACACCTAATCAAGATTGCCTGCGCTCCAACAATAGCCGCCAAATGCAATTTGAGAACCACAAGCCTTTGAAGTCTTCCCAGTAAAGGCCGGTTTCCTACTCTGGGATAATGACATGTCGTGATTGCTGTCTTTGTTGTCTCTTTTCAACAGAGAAGCAATTACGGGCCTCAATTTAACAGAATAGACATTATACAGCTTATGATGCTCAAAATGCAATTTCATTTGATCATTTTCTCAATTTGATTGGCATTAATAGAACAGTTCGCCGAAGGGGGAAGACAGGGGAGAGAAAAAAGGCAGGGAAAACAGGAGGTCGAAGTTATGTCTTGGTCCTCTTACAAAGAGATAACACAAGAAGTAGGTTGTACCTGCCAGGCGCACTAGCTGTGGTCTCTCTGCGGTGGCAGCTGCACTGCCCAAAACAATGAAAACTTCATGGTCTCTGTGAAAGATCCTAACTCTGGAGTGACCCCGTATTTCTGAGCTGACCTGCCGCACCCAAGAGGCTCATGAACTCCACTGTTAATTAGTGCTTGGGTCTCTCTGGCTAAGGAGAAGGATGGATTTCAGGCACCAATGACCCCTGGAAATTATGGTGCCAGTCCTCACTTGATTTCTGCATGGGACGAAATGCTTTCTCTGTACCCACCTGCAAATTGGCATCTAGCACCTGAAAGGGATGGGATCAGGCTACGGATGGCTATGCCATTGTTCTTTTCTGGTCTACTGTGAGCCTCTGGGGAAAATGTTATTGGTGCATTAAGGCTTCTGCACTTAAGACAGTGGCGCCCAACCTTGGGTCCCCAGATGTTCTTGGATTAAAATTCCCGGAAGCCTTCGCCATTAGATGTGGTCGCCATTGTTTCTGGGGATTGTAGTTTAAGAACATCTGGGGGGACCCAAAGCTGGGAACCACTGCCTTAAGGGGATTTGAAACCAGTTGTTCTCTTAAACAGAGCGAGTCACTTTCCAGAGTGGGCACCCGCCAGAAGAGATGGAGCCGGGAAGCACCGAACACCTACTCGGCCAAAAAAAAATGGACCATCATGAACTATCGAATCAGGAGTTTGTGCCAATCTCTAGTGGCAATTTGTCACTGACAGACTTAAGCCAGTGGCATGACGTAATACACCCCAGACTCCTACATTACATATCTTTTTTGGTTGTGGTTGAAATTGCATGGGTCTCCTCTCTGATATGCTTGTTTTTATTTACAGGGCTTTTGTGCTGCTTCTTGATCAGTGTTTCATTGGATTTGTGGTTTCCATTTTCCAGCAGTACTTTATTATGCCATGACTGGTAAATATAATACATAAATACAAAGCATTAGAACTGTTGAATAGCTCTGTGCTTTAAGCATCTGGCTAAGGAGCCAGAGGTTGGGAGTTTAATTCCCTCTGTTCTCCCTTGTCTGAGGCTGCCCCCCCCCCGTGCAGTTCCAAGATTGTTGTTGTTGTTGAACAAACTCTTTTGTTTCGTGGAGATGATTGACGGCCGGCTAGCCAGCCCCTGAATAAGTCTGCTTATTTTGACTTCTTTCATTTGTAGGTGATGCTTACACAAAATGTTTGTGGATGGCTTACAGTGGAAGAGAACGGATACACAGCAGGCAAAAATCATAGAAACCGAATATAGTGTTAAAACCTGCATTATGATCCAATTGTAAAGGACAAAACTAGCATAATAAAATGAAACTCTTGTTCCTTGAAAATGGCCACCCCTTCAATTTTTGTTTGTTTGTTTGCTCTTGCTTTATTTTTATTTTTGGAACTCGATTTCCGTCTTATGACCAGGCTACGGTCTTTTGAAAATATGGGGAAGAAATATAGTCAGGATCCCCCCCACCCCACCCCCGTGGCTTCAGCTCATGCCAAGACTGTTAGGACTGTGACATGAGGCCCTTTCTAGATATAAACATTAATCACTCGAGAAAAGGTCTGGCAAACAACTTATCATCTTGGCACCAGGAGACCAAGAGTCCCCAATGCTAAAGCTTTCCCTGAAACATTCTGCTCTCCATGCGACTTAATACCTACCATTAAGCAGTTACTCTGAGTGCATACACTCTGTCGTGGCCGCAAGTGTTGTTAACAAAGGAGCCCTGGTGAGGCCAGAGGCTAAAATGGAGGCGTACGGAACAGACAAAGATTAAATGGATTGCCAACTTCTTTGTGTGTGGCCTCTGGGGTTCCCACATCTCACCTCATGAGGAGTGGCACCTGAGGCCTTAACTGGAAGTTGATGAAGCTTTAACTTGGGGAGGGGGGGAGAGAGAGACTCTTTTTGCAGGTATGATGATGGTCCTTCGAGATGGCAAGAGTAAATGGCTGGCCATGCCCAGCTACGATACTCTGAGGGTTAAATCTCCTAGATTTCAGTGGGTCCCTTCACAGCGGCAAGAATCCTGCTGGTTATTCAGTAGGGTTTGCGTAACTCACCATGACAAATTGTGGGTAATTGAGAAGGGGCTGGGACACCTCTCAGACACATGTCACATCACACGTCCAGCCCCACAACTGAGATAATGTTCCAATATCTTGTCAATTAGCGGAAATCAACCATTGCTGTTTATGCAGACCTTAGACAATCGCCGGTAGGATTCCTGCCAGTATATATTTAAATCTGAATTTAACTTCGAGCTCATTTGTTGGTTCATTTCATTTCTTTGTGGACATATTTTCATCTTAAAGTTACAATAAAACTCTAAGTGAGGTCTAGTCTTAGTCGTGTTTCGGGCAGATCCGCGGGGGTGTTAAACGAATCATTTCTGATTTGTCCCATTGATTCCAGTATGGCTACTCAAAGCAGAACTCACCGACAGTTTCAACGTGTCTGCAGAGTATAGTTTTCTAAGCTGTATTAGCTTCATCGCAAGCCATAAACAGCTGTGTTTCTTCAGTAGGGCTTTCCCGAAAAGAGATATTGTCACTAAGGCCTTGCAGTCTTTTTCATTTTTAAGATGCACATGGCAGATTGGTGTCAGAAGGTACACAAAAATATCAACCTCTTTTCAAATGGCAAAAATTAATTTTTTCCTTTTGGATGTTTTCAGGCTAGAAACGTTGCACGGAAAGGCAGGGAGAGAGCAGCCCCAGGACCTACCATGCACACAGTCTCTTCCAATAAAATCCAATTTTCTTCTTTTCATGGAAGTACTCATTTTCTGCTTGTGACGTACATCGCTGAGATGGGTTGATAATCTCACAAATATGCCCTTTCTGAACCTGTATTATACCATTAGGTACAAAAATGCAATGCACTGATTGATAATTATTTTTGTAACATTGGACTTAAACCACAGCCCTTAAAGTTGGCATTCATACTACTTGGACTTAAGGATGAAAGACCGATGTTCCAGAGGTAGATTCATCTCTCCAGCAAATCAAGGTCATGAGCAAAATAAATGCTCTTAGCAAGCTTGTAGGCAAATTAGTTAAAGACAGAAGCATCCAGGAATCACTTGCCTAGTTTGATTTTTCAGTGTGTCCTACAGCTATGCAATGATAGATTGAAATGTCTGCTGAGGCTAGGAGATGTGCTTTGGAGCCATTTGCCAAAATCAGGTGCTCCCAGTGGGGTAGCTGTCACTCTTAAATTTCTTTAAATTACAGGAGCAGAGGGCTGGTAACTCAATATAGTGGGAGCTGTGAACCTGTGCCAAGTTTTAATGTGAGCTTTATAGCAGCCATCCCTGAACCCTGTTTCCAAAGTAAGTTCAGCCCCCCCAGGATAATTCCTTTAAAGTTTAGACCAAAACCCAGAGCAGATTTGCTGCCCCTATGATATCACAGCCATAGCCACCACTGAATCAGAAGTGCCCCATTCAACAGTTGGGATGTCCCTCTTCCTGCCTTGGGAGAAGAAGGTCTGCTTATCATTCCATCATTGATTCATTCCCCATCGGAAGTCTTCCCAGCTGATTCAGTTTTTCTCATTTCTTTGTTCATTGTTCACCTTCCAAGTTCTGCTGCTTTATCCTTACAACCTGAGGGACAGTGACTCGCTCAAGACCAACCAATATCAAGGCTTCCTTAGCCCGAGTCCAAAACCCAATCCTGTCTACACCAAATGGGCCATCTCTCCTACGTCACCTTTTTAAATATAATGACATACCACGAACTCTTGGTATCATGGTGCTATCTCATAAAATGGGACAGCCAGCATGGTATAATTGTTATGGTATCAGACTTGAACGGAAGGATCTCTGATTCAGTTCTGCTCTTGGTTCTTACTGGGCGATCGAGGGCAAGATTATCCGCTCTCGACCGCCCAACTTGCAGTGTGTTGGGAGAATAAAAAGGTTGTCCTGAGGTCCTTGGGAAAAAAAATCTAGGGGAAAAAATCACATTTTGTAAGACTTTGATCACCATAGTGTATGGATAAAGCACATGAAGCTCATGACACTTATTATGCTTTAGCTTGCACTGAGTGCCAGCATTTTGAAAATATCAAAATGCAACTTCAATCACATGTAGCTTGATTTCTCATTTTAGGCTCACCCGTGCAGAAAGCCGGACATCAGCGGAATAAACTCCAGCCATGCTACATCCGTGGGAGAAAACCCCTTCAGTGAGATCAGCGTCCAAAGTCCTTTGGAAACCCAAGCAGAACTAAGGAGCCAGAAGGACAGATGTCACAATGTGTTAGAATCTGAGCATGCTCGTACCAGTTCTAACTCTTACAGAGAAGTATCTGATTGGGAACAGGAGAGCCGACATTCATTGCACCATACTTTTTATCCAAATCTATCTGTCGCTCCTCTCCATCCTTCCATCATACATAGTTCTAGCTGGGGCCAACAATATCCTACAGATCCAAACTACAGTGTACATCCAAATGGCAAGCAACAATCCATGAGTGTAACCTTTGCTAGGAATCCTTTGGAGCCAAATCCATACCCAGATTTTCAAGGGCTTCCTTTACCATCTGCTAGTGAAAAAAAGAAGATTAACCGACGGAAACTTGAAAGCACTTCTGGAGCTAGCCATCCGCATCCGTACAGATGTACAGTTTCAGAGCCTCCGTCTAGCACTAGACATGGCAAGCATCAGAACCCGGTAGAGCGTAGAAGTTTTTCACCAGCTTCCAAAGCTGGTTTTCCACCTCTAGTGAACAAAGACGTTTCATCTGGGAATCCCAGACGGATTTATATAGAGAAGACCTCCATCAGCCATGTTTCTGATAACTCACGGTAAAGACAAAGTTTTCTCCATAACATTAAAAGAGGCAGAAAATTAATGAAAACATACAATGTATTAATTGTAGAATTCTTTGTTATGTCCTAAGCCGTTTCATAATAGTTAAAAACCCCACTACTGTTTGGATCTATTTATTTTATTTCTTTATTTAAAATATGTTTATCCCGGCTTTCCCCTAAAAAAAGGACCCAAGGCAGTTAAAGGACAGTATTTAAACCTAACACAGTGAGTAAACAAAAAGTAAAAAGATTCAATTGAATACCATACCATAAGCAACACCAAAACATATTCAAAGCAGTAAGGTACAACTCTCCATTTAACAATCCCACTCAGACAGACAGACAGTAAGGGAGAGCTTGCATAAAGAGAAAAGTCTTCACCTGCTTGTGGAAGGACAGTAAAGATGGGGCCAGCCTGTAGGAGGGAGTTCCAGAGGCTGGGAGAAGCGACACAGAAGGCTCTCTCCCGTGTGCCCCCACCAGATGCAACCCTGAGAGTGGTGGAACTGAGAGAAACGCCTCTAGTTGATCTTAGCATTTCAGCAAGCTCATAAAAGGTCCTTTGAGATAGTTTGGGCCCAAGCTGCTTATGGCTTTATAGGTTAGAGCCAGCACTTTGAATTGTGCCCAGAAATGGATCCACATCAACCATAGGATGGAAACAACTATTCTCACTTGTGGGACACTCAGGTGTGAATGATTTTTTTATTATTATTTTGGCAAAATACTAATACCAATAGTAGATTCCCCATGTCATGGAGTGAGATAGAATGACGGACTAGAACTCTAGAGAGCAGGGTACGAATCCTCACTTGGCCATGGAATCTCACTGTGAGAATGCGACTGGTAAAACCACTCTGTAAATATCTCCCTTAAATCCAGAACTGCTGGATAGCTCTAATTTAGGAATCTTGTTTCAGAGCTAGAGGTGGAGAGTTTGGTTCCTCGCTTGTGCCTCGAGAAAGGCTGCTCCATAGGCTCTGTGCCTCCTTGAGAAAGGCTGGACTTGATGCTCCATAAGCTCCCTTCCAACTCTGCAGTTTAAAGATGATGGTGGTGGTGGTGATGGTGATTGTGTTGATGATGGTGATATCTCACTTACCTTGAAAGCCCTATTAGGGTCACTATAAGTCGTTCTGACTTGATGGCAAAGAACACACAAAACTAATGCTAACAGCAGCAACAACAACAACAACAACATTTGCTGGAAACAGCAGTCTGACACCATCTGGAGGCCATGGCCGTTCACCCCATATGCAGAGTTACTCTGAGGAGATGTTCCAGTAATAAACAGCAAGGGGATGTGGGGAGAGTTCGCCGAAGATGGTGGAACTGCAGAGGCAAAATATTCCAGGAAGGGATGTATTGGATATAACAACAAGGACACAACAAGGGTTGAAGATATTGAGGGGTGGGGGGTCGCTTTGAAAATGAAGGACAAGAAGCTTACGTGGGATGCAGACAGGAAGCAGGAAGTTCATGAAGGGGTTTAACGAATTGGTCTGATGTGATCAGAACAGTGAGGGGATGAATAATTTTGACAGCCGAGATGGATGGATCAGGGTGGACCATCTCTGTGTTAGTCAGTTAAAAACAATTCCTCCAATTTTTTTTCTTATTTTTTCCCCCTCTTTGGTCTTATATATTTGTTTGCGATTCTTTTTTTGAGGCTGTCCCAGCTGCCCGCTCACCGCTTGATCCAAGCGGATTCTCCAACCACCCGGCTCATCCAGGCAGCGGAAGAGCAACACCTCAAAATCTCTCGACTGGCCCATGATTACCTCGCTGGAAGCCAGTGCGCAAGCATGCTCCCGCCCATAATGCTAAGGGGGGAGAGCGACTCCCGGCTCAACCTGGAAAGCTGCGAAGGGAGCCCACGGGTGTTGAACCGCAGCAACTCCGAAGGCTGCTTGCTTCAGATGGAGAAGGAGAAAGAGAAGAAGGACAAGGAGAAAAGGCAGGTGAGGTGGGAGAATACGGAGCTGATCCGGGGTGAGCCGAAGGTCGGTCTGGATCTGTTCATTTATGCCCAAAGGGCATCAGCAATTTCCTTGGCCCTTCATTTCATGATGGCAGTAGTGCCACCAACAACTAAAAAGCCTTCCCTTTACCCCTAAACTAGTTTGTTAATATCTGATCTGTAGGAAAATCAGGCCCCAATTGGATGGTACAGTTAGCACACCATTAGAAACGGAGTTCCATGAAGTGATAAAAGATGGTCTGATTGTCCCACCCAGACTGTGCCTGATTGGACATAGGAAGCTAAACAAGGATTTCATTTACAGCTCTGTGTTCTGAAGGAGTTGTCCCTCTGGAGGGAAAATCTGGTAACGGTGGGAAAGAGCAGAAATCCTGATAAACAAAGTAGGTGCCACAAATAGAGACTGTTTGTGCTAGAAATGGAAGGTCATGCTGTCCGTTTCCTCATGCACGTTTGGAAACCACGGAGAACACAAGAAGGCCCAATGATAAGTTTGGAGAACTATATCACAGGTTAGGAACTATGGGAAAGGAACAAAAATGCTGTACCTCCACAAAGAGTGACAAATACGTAGGGCTGTCACCCAATTTTTTTCTTGGCTATTAATCAATGACATTCTTGTAGGGTTAAAAATATTGCATTTTAATTGTATGCTTTCTTTAACCGGATTCCAACTGCTGTTCCTAAATAGAGCACTCTCCTTGGGATTGACCCTAGAATGGATTTTGTGGGTCTACCGGAGTTGAGATGAGCAATTGGATTTAGGACTTCTCTTGCAGAAGACATTGATTTAGAAGAAGCCTTCCTACCTGTGCATCCCAGAAAAGGAGTCTCTCTTTTTTCTTATCATGCTACTTACGAGGACAGGTATTTAAAATATTGGTAGGTAGGTAGGTAGGTAGGTAGGTAGGTAGGTAGGTAGGTAGGTAGGTAG